ACTTCGCTTCCGAAGAATATGGAACTTGTGAGAAATCTTCCCATCAGCACCTTTCGCATGACTTCCGCGAGCTTCACGGAAGCAGCTTGACGACCTCAAGCAGACACAAATAACTATGCACAATATAAGTAGAGCAAGTCCAAACCCTAAACCACCAATTATCCATCCATATGGAACATGAGCCTTATGATTCACTTCACCAGCTGCCAAAAATAACAAACCTAGAAGTGATTCCCATTTCATATAAGGTGGCACTTGTATCAATGCTTTATTCAAAACCCTTGGTAGATGCTGAAAAATTAAGTAACAATTCACAGAAATTTCAGTGATCCAAAAGAACCAGCCATTATTTTAAAACTATTATTCAATTTTAAATAGCGCACCAAAGGTCCACCTAAAAGCATATCATAGAACTATCGTCTTGTCAACTAGCTATATTGCTGCAAACTATTACCAAACTTTCAAAATATTGATAGAAGAAAACTCAGTTTTTGATTATTTCGAGGAAGCTTATGATAGGAAAAATTAGGATTTTTGTACAAAAATAATCATGAGGATTTGGCAGTAGTCAGAGAAGATGGGTTTTAGGCTGCCTTCCTTCAATGTCGTTTGTTGTTTTGCTGAATGGCAAGCCTAGATCCTGGTTTCATGAGCAGAAAGGATTGAGACAAGGGAATCTTCTTTCTCCTTTCTCTTCACACTAGTTGAGGATTCTCGAGTCTGACATTATCCTACGAGATGGTAGACCCCCATCTGTAATTTACTGAGGATGCTTTTTTTTTTCCTCTCCCATGATTATAATAGGCTTTTTAATGCATTGAAGTAATCCCTCAAGTGTTTGAATATATTTCAGAGTTGCACATTAACCTCAATGAACGTGGTTGTAAGCACCAATATTTGCACAAGCTAATATCAAAAGCACAATCATGAGCACCTACGAGCTTTACTTAAAAGCAAATGGTTCCAGAAGAACCAGGTTAGAAAACCCGAATCTTAGAAATTTAGATCAGGTTTGCTATCAAATAGTTCTCATGCCTCGCAAGTGGCATATTTCAATCATAAAGTGTCAAGTTGACTGCAAGTTTCATGGGCCAACTACAGTACCATGTGCTAGTCATAAGCTAGCATTTGCTAATCAAAAGCTAGCATGTGCAGTCTCAGAGGATCGTGTTCTACTCACATACCAAAGTGAGATT